TAACGTCCGTCTCCGATAGGACCGAGCCAAGTGGGAAGTTCGTGTAAAGTGCCTTTCCCAAGGACACAACGTCGGATCGAGCTGAGGCTCGAACACCGGAACCCGCAATCTCACGATTACGAGTCCGGTAGCAGCCCGAGAGCCTACATCTGCTAGATCTGACTTATTGCTATGCCTTTGGGCTTTGGAATTGAAATAAAACGAATTGCACAGTTCTAGTTAATTTTAGATTCGACATCTAACTATATTTTCCAGAGTTAATAATAAAAAATCTCACTGTACCAATCACTTTTACTTACTTTTATTAGATTTAGATACAACCCAACTTTTTTTTCTAAAATCTGTTTTGCGCAAACTTACTATTCTAGTAGAGAACAGAGATTATTAGCATCTGCTGCTGCTCAGTCTTTCAGTAGGCCTACATAATAATTTTATTTTATTATTTTCTGGATATTTTTACATTATCAAATTGTGCCATTTTCTTTGATAAGAATAGCTTTAGCAGTGGACTATTTAGACAGCGGCGAGTCTCTGACTCAATATTTTTTCTTAAATTGTGCTAATTCATGAAAATTGATCATTGATAATAACTGAAAACAACAGTTGTCATGAATAATGAAGAAAAATGTGTGGAAAAAAAGCAAAGGTTATGAGGTAGACTATAATTTGTCAAAAAAATTGCAATTGCAAGTGAAGATCATAGGATGATCTTGTTATTTTCTTGTCATTTTCCGCGGTTTATATGTTCCAGTATGCATACTACTCTGTCTCTGAAGAACATTGTTCTTTATTTTGTTCTTGAAATAGTTTTTCATAAATGTATGCACAATACTTTGACAAAGAAGAATAAGGAGCTGACTTCTGGTCATTGGGTTGTTGTTTTTTACAGAATCTGTTTTACATTGAGAAAAGCGCTAAAAACAAGTTTTGAAATTTTAAGAATGCCCACAAGATTAGGAAATTACTACCTAGTTGTCTTACTCTTTAATTATCATGAACAGTTAAGAAAAACAAAGAGAATGATATAGGATTTGTCTTTAAAAAATATGACCATTAGCAGTAAAGATATTGCCCATTTTGTCCGATTATCCTTGCGGGTGAAATCACCCTGTACGGTACCTCTATAAGTACAAAAAAATATTTCTGTAACTTTGTAATGAGGTGTTTTATAGTTGTGTGCAGTCTGTAAAATTCTCAACAAAATAAAGTACATGTACATTTGGACGGTACAACTCAGATATATTGACAATCAGGAACACAATATCATTCTCGCACTTACACTCATTACACACACACACACACACACACACACACACACACACACACGCACACACACTCACACATACAAACACACTGACATTTACTCTCTCTCTCTCTCTTTCTCACTACAACCACACATACACACACACACTCAACTCCTACCCTTTCTCCACTTTTCATTCATAATCATTCCTCTATTTTGAAATAATCCCCCTCACAAAATAAAAGATCAGCAGAATCTCGATCTTGCGAATCCATGATTAGTTCTAGAAATCTACTTAAAAAGCAAACAAACCGCTGTATACATGATCTAATGTAGTAGGACTACCCTATATATCAGCATAACCATGCCACTCTAATCTGTTGCTTATCTCAAGTCCTCAAAATACAAGTGGGTGGTTGGCGGGTGCTCTGATGTTGTTTGTTTCTTCCTTTCTATCAAACTTATATCGTCCTTATCTCCCCTTCTCTTTTTTTATGTTTGTTATTCTCTTGTAACACCTCTAATCTTCTAGCGCTCATATGACCTTATGCAGTTGCGAGTGCCGTAAAACCTCTGCTAAAACTAAACTACGTTAAAAATACAAAGACATTCAGTGTTGCCAGGTGGCAGTGTTATTCTAGATTGTACTTATAGATACATCATGTTTGCCGGGATGATTTACCCCCCCCCCCCCCAAAAAAAAAAAAGAAAAAAAGAGGAAAAAAAGGAAACAAACCACTTCTTTTTAAGTACAAAAAAAATTAATTAAGAATGATGATTTAGGTGAACGTTTAACTTGAATAATGTCGAATCGAGTGTGCCGACCTTGGATTTTTTTTCTTCTTTTCAAAACCTTGCCTTACCCTAACACTCGACGATGTTAATGTTAGGCTACACCCCAAGGTTCACCTATCCACTGTCGAAGAAAATACACATTTATTAATAAATTCAGAATGGGTAATTCAAACATGTACCAACGTCACGAGTTTTTAACTGCAGATTTGTAGAGATACAGAAAAAGACCTTAAATTGATTCTTGATTCTTTACATGTCCTGCTGTGATGGAAGATGGGTGGGAAGAGGGTTTGTTTCTCTCTCTATGTGGCCTAAATAAGGTCAGGTTGGGGGAGGGGGGCTAGCTTATATAGGCCATATGTGGCCTAAATAAGGGAAGGAAGGGGGGTTTAGCTTATTTAAGCCATATGTGGCCTAAATAAGGTCACCCTAAGTTTAAATAGTTTTATTTAAATATAATATACTTTTTTCCTGAATAGTTTTTAAGCTTTTGAGGATATCTGGAGACAAAGGTTTGTTTCAACTTAGTTTGCAAAAGTATCTTTAGCATTTTGGCCTGTTAGGGGCGCTACAAAATCAATGCCGTATTTCTGTCCCTGATGTTTTCCCTAGTAAAAATACATTCATGTAGTATCTTTAACAGTTTGTTCTTAACGGAGCGAAGTAATCTTCTAATTTTGAATCTTATGGCTAAGCAATTGGATAACGGGATAAGTCAACCATGCCAGTGTTCTCAAAAGGTGCTCCAAGTTGCACTGGGTTTGAGATATGAGCTCTACTGGGTAACTCCCTAGTGTTAGCAATGAATGGTTGATATCCAGATGCAAAGAAATGAATGATGAAACTTGCATTATAGCAGTTTCAGGGCTCTGTGTTGAGTGTTTTTTTGTGTTATGTGCCTATGAAGACAAAAATCAGCCCAAAAATTGGTACTAGAAATATTACATTGACTGGGCTGAGGAACTCATTCATTCAGCCCTTCTCCACATCAATGTCAGGTTGTATGTTGTGGTGCTTTCCAAAAAGAGACTATCAAGACCTACAGAACAAGCCAAGAACCATGCTGTTTAGGTATTTTGTATTTGATTGGTGATGATTTAAACTTTCCGTAGTTGGCTGTGATGCTGTCAGTCATCAATAAGGTCAAATTCAAGGTATCCATTACTTCACTTAAAATTGTCTTTGAGCACTTTCTATGGCTCTATAACTTAATTTATTTAATTTGAAAATTAAAACATGGACATAGAACTTAATGAAGCAGGAATTTGGGTGGACGAACGTTTTTTCAGAGCGCACCTCTCTGTCTGTCACTTCATCTCAGCCGACCATCGACCCGTATCTTCGAGCGATTAACCTGTGCATGATTTTCTCGGTACACTTTTGAATCCCTGAACCTCGAGTTCCTGCCGAATGTTGATTTCCTCAGTCTGATCACTGATCATGGTGGAGAAGCCAGAAGGTAAGTGATGTTCGTTGTCTGTCCTCAAATCCCAACCATCACGACCGAACAACACATCACAACCAACAATAAATGCTCTTGGCATAAAACTGCAATTCATTTCGCTTTGTTTATTTTCAGTTTTATTTCCTGTGGAAAAGCGAGTTAGGCTGATAGAAACAGAGGGGCGCGGCGCCGTGCAACCACATGTACCATTATCTAGTACAACCGGGTCTGTTCAAAGCGGTGATCCAATATCGAGGAGAAAAATGGTAACTCTTAGTAGACGAATGGTGCCATTGGACAGAGCCATTATATACATGTATAGTAAAAACGCCTCAAAAAGCGGCCGAGGGGAAAGGGGGGGGGGGAGGTAGGTTATTTGTACAGGCAACTGCCTTGGACATATGGTCGTTAGAAAGAATGTATTATATTAACACCTATTAAAATGGTTTTGATTATTATTACTAACTCTGAAAGAAAAAAGTGCTAAAATAGTTTTCAAATGCAAAGGAAAAAAGAAAGAGTTCTGATTTACACCATAATTTTATTCTCAACATATTTAACAATAGAGAACATAAGTATTGTTTTTAGCCCAATTCCCTATACAATAAAAATTCAAAGTACAAGTACATGATACATGTACTATCGTGGCAACACATAAGACCAGTATAGGCCTACGTACGGGTACAATCGGTATAATTATAATTAAGGCAGCTGTCAATTGAAGCATATCAAACTATGGTACCCTCAATGTAACAGTTTCCAACAAAGGAACATTGTAAAATGTAAAGTGTGGAATTTATAGTGGCAAAAAAGGAAAGGAATTAAAGGAATTCTTAAAATATCTTTCGAAAGACATTATGTTTGAAACAAATAAATAAAACAAAAATTAATATGTAAAGATATCCATCACATTGTACCGGTGACTATATACATGTAGTGTGCAACTAAAAGAAGAAGAATCAAACTAGAAAGATATAAAGAAGACTTCGTTTTCATGTTTGGGTATTCTGTTTGCATGAATGCCTGCATAAATATTTGTCCATGTGCTTGCCGATGTAAGTTGTAAAAACTCAACGGACCATATGGTGTGTTTCATGTATGTTCACATGAGGGAATATATCTGTGTATGCTCAAAGTATATCATTCAACATGGTAATACAAAACATCGTGTTAAAATAGGATAAAATAAACATCTGACTTTGATTGAGTATTGATACACATGTATGTATCATTGATTCATTGTGTATAATGAACACAGAATTGCACATTTATCAGGTTACCTCAAGACAAGAGTATATTATAATGATGGTGTTCCAAAGTACCTCTCGGGCTCGAGAGAGAATCAAACGTATATTTCCCAATATCCATGAAGTAGTCAGTATTCTCTGATTTATACGCTTCTTTTCATTGGATAACAATCAAAACGTTTTATTTTTTAAAGCTCCTCTCTCCTTATTTCTGCTCCATGTCCTTGAGAACAGAACCCAAAGTTTCCAGGAACATCTCAGCATGGTGTTTCTTGAAGATGAGACTTGGTCTGAGGCGCAGAGTTTTCACGCCACTCCCACCCGTGTGTACACCTGGTGGATAAATCATAAAGAACGCGTGTTCAGTAGGTTCGAACTTCGAGAACGACCCAGAGACTCAAGAACTTATTCAGTAATTTCAAGTCAAAAAACACGCATAGACTCATGTGTAATCAGTAATTTCAAGTCGAGAACCACCCACAGACCCAAGAACTTATTCAGTAGTTTCAAGTCGAGAACGACCCAGGGACTCTAACCTTTCACTTCTCGAATGATCTAAATTATACCCCCCCCGGGTATAAAACACCTTTAATAATAATATTATACCATGCTTATAGCAAATGGCATGAGACGGCAACCGTTTATAATTTCTTACACATTATAAGAAATCAAGAGACATTGTAATCCTTCTGACCTTTACAAAACTGAAAGAAGATCATGATCCAACATGTAGTATGGAATTCCTTACCTTTACTCCTCATTTTGGTAATAATTTGATCTCTTATGGCTACAGTCGGCATGTCCACTGCACAGAGTGTACCGAGTCCTCGAGCTTTCTGAAGCAAGCCAGGGTACTTTTGCTGTGGAGGAGTAGAGCAGGTACATTGTATAATTGTATTAAGTCGGCGCTAGAAAACTTATCAACATCGCAAAGAGTTTGAAGCACTAATTTGTTCCTTTTCCAAGTAAAACATCGACGATGATGTACACTGTAAATAATTATTGTGTTTACTCAGCTGAAGAATTTTCGCAACAAGTACAATGTATGTTCTGAAGGACGTGGTGTTTGCGTCAGTGTATAATGCCAGCCATGGGTCAAAGAATCAATAGCTGGACTGGACAATCATTGATATAAGTCTAATTTTTAAAAATGTAAGAGTGAGCAATGGCGAAGCGTCATCTCCTCTTCCACCATCCTAGTGCCCTGACAAACTTGAGAGGTGGCGGAATCGGTGAGAAAAGTCGAACAGATTTCTTCTCCTTCTTCTTCAAGTGCCAAATTTGAAACAAACATTGCCGATGATACGCCAGGTCTTTCCCAGCCACCTATCTAATCAAGTTCAATAGATAAGTTGTTTTCAGTATACCCCTGCCTCTTTAAGTCTTTTGCCTTTTATTTTTTTCCAGTGGGAGCAAGACGTTAAAAAATAATAGATAAATAAATAACTGGCTTTGTATTATTATTCGTATTATTCGAACTGTTTCTATTTTAGCGAACGTCACCTGATGGCTGCTTTCAGAACAACGTGTATTCCATTTGATTTATTTTTCTTCATTAAACTCTCAACAGTCTCTGAGGAAACCACATTGCCGTTGCCTCTAGTGTATTATGTAGTAGATAACTAAACAAAGCTAAACAAAACAAACAAACAAAAAGAAAAGAATTGAAAGTGAAAATGACTGCCTACCTGCAAGTCCTTGAGCCCTTTCAGCAAGACCTGTCCCACTTCAGCGGCAGTGGCAACCAGCTGCTTGTTCTTTACCTCCGATATCACTTGCTCCAGCAGAATCAGCTTGGAAGGATCGCCTATCCAGGTGTTGTAGATACGGTAACCCTGGAGGAACAAACAAAGGAGAGTTTTACTGGTAGCCTTGCTTAATAAAGGAAACATATTATACTTTGACATCTTGTTGAAAACATCTTGACCAATGAGGTCTTTACCGTACTTCTGCTTTGTTTTTGTTTTTTGTTTGTTTGTTTGTTGTTTTGTGCTTTTTTTTTCTTTTGTTGTT